CTCCCCACCTCATTTGTGACAACAAAGAAATCCATCCCTCTTTTAGGGTACCTTTGTGAAGGGTTAGCACAGCCCTCTGTGTGGTAATCCCACATGGAGAGGTCCTTTGTTCAAGTCTGTGGGACTTTCCTGAATGTGCTGGATGCGTGTTGGCCCTTGTCTGGCTGACTGAGGTAGGATAGATTGCTGGATGGAAACTCTGTTTGGGTTGCAGTCTCTCTCTCTGTCATAAAGATGCAAAATAATTTTAAAAGACCAGAATTATTAAGAAACTTGTCTAAGATACAGGATGCCATGTATTTCATGCAATGGAGCCTTAGAAATACAGGCTGAATAATGAATAAAGGCAAACAGCTGTTGTTATTGATTGGAAGATTCCCTATGCTTCCTCTTTGCTGTGCCTCGTTCACATCTTCAGTGCCAAAGTCCTAGTGTGGTAACTTAAAGCTGTGGGGAAAGGGCGGGGTCATAGAGCTGCCTTTGCATTCATCATAACCCCGCTGTTATTTATAAACCCTTGGCAGTTGTTTCAGAGAAATTCTTCACCAACTCCGTAAACTTCCTAGAACGTTTTTTTCCCCAGCTTCATTGGCTGTCTTTTTATTGCTTGAACTACCAAAGATCTTTCTGGCTAGGGTTGTTTCTCCTGCTTCTGTTACTGACTATGGTCTCCACAATTTTCACATGAGTGAATTCTTGTTATTTCTGTCTTATCTCCTTTGTTGACTCCAGAGAGAGGCTTTTCCTGCCCTCTCAAACTAGGTTGGCTCCTCTTGCTCCAGTTAACTTCCTCTGTGTGGTATAATTTTCTTAGCATTTGTGTGTATATGAAATTATGTTCATGTGTTTCCTTGTCTCTCTCACTAAGATGTAAAATAATTTGAACAAATTTGTTGTCATGTATGCAGCTATAGATCAGCAATGTTCAAACAAGTCCTTTAGAAATGCACTCTTTGCAGAATAGATAAATTATATAAATATAGAGTAATATTTATTGAATACTTACTATGCACATAAACTGTGCTAAAATACTGTTGTACAAATTTCAATTTAAAGCATCCCATCGATACTGTTGTCTCTGTCTTATGAACCATCTATCTATTCATGTAACTTTGCCACTATTATACAACTAGTTAGTTAGACCTCTTATTCCACAGCCTTGTCACTATTGCACCAGGCAGCACCAAGATGGCTCTGCCATAGCCCTGATTCCTTCTCAGCCCAGCACAGTAGAGAGAGAGATTTTAATACCTATTTTGGGCTGTGGTCAGACTTGTTTTGTGGATGTTTGGAGAGGTATGGAAATGGTATTTAGTAGTTATCAAAAACTGGTGCCCTCAGGTTGATGTGATCTGTAGTCATCTTTATCGTGTCTGGCACATTGTATCAAAACAGGAAAGCTCACTGAAAACTTAGACTCAATGCTTCTTTTGAGTAGGAACTTTCTCCTCTGTTGGAGTATGTGTGCTTCTCAGGGCTCCCCTCTGTCCTTCACTTACCCCAGTTAGCCTGGCCCAAAAGGCATTTTGTGTTTTTCAGAGCATTGTGGGGAGACATGCAACATATGTATATATAGTTGATATACATATAGTTGCAGAAATAGTATTATATAGCCATTGTTCCCCTCAAAAAAAAAAAAAAAAAGGAAGGAAGAAATAAAGAGAAGATAAAAGAAATGAAGCACTAGCCCTCTTTGCCTGCAGATGCATGCCCTTCAACAAGAGACCAGGATCACTACAGTCTGCCTTATAGACAGGAGTTCTCGTGTTTAGAGTCAACCCAGGACCAGCAGTTAGCATAATGGCTATGTTGCTGAACTCCCATATAGTCGACCTCAGTTCAAGTCCCAGACCTGGTGGCTTACACTCACACCGGGTGCATGTGTGTGCGTGCCCAAGATCCCAAGAGGAGAATGGTGGAGAAGGGATTGTGGTGTGGTCATCCCCCTGGGAGGTGATTTCTTGCTTTCTGTCTCTCTCTCTGTCTGTCTCTCTGGTGAGTGCATGCACCCTTTAGAAAAAAAAAAAAAAAAAAAACCTCTCAAATAAATAAATAAATAAGAAAAAAAAAAAGAGAGTCAACCCAAACTACCCAAGACACCTTCCATCACCATCCTGATCTGTTTGGAGAATGTCTTCAGGGTCCAGAACCAAACAAATTCAACTGTCTGGAGAAGTGAATCTTCACAGCAGCCACAGACACAGTCTAAAATGTCTGTGGATCTAGTATATGAGATCGAGATGCCCCATTAACATTCTGATCACTGAATTCTGATGTGCCCGACTTTGTCTAATGGTCTGTTGCTTTCCTGCTGTGCTTAGTGTCATAGTAGATGAAGACTTCCTCATTTTTTATTTATCTGCTCTGGAAATGTTATTTGAAAACAAATATAATGCTTGTTTTCCAGAAGTAAAATAAAGTATGCATATTTTTAATATACTTAAATACTTATTTTTCTTATATGGTGGCTATTTGTAATAATTTTGAACATCTGAAGGCACCTAGTGTTGCATGCCAGATATTTAAAAATTTTCGTATTGAGAAACATTCTTCGAATTTTCTAAAAAAATTCATTCAAATGGGCTCAATATTAGTTAACATTTCATTTTCTTTGCTTTGACTCCACCTATAAAAGTTTTTAACTTTCAAAATTGCTATGAGTTTTTATTCTTATTCTTCTTGTTGTTATTGCTAGAGAGCACATGCACTCACAAGACAGAGACACAGAGAAAGCACCCACAAAGGGGGCGTGGTCATGCCGTCATCTTTTTTCCTCTATTCCTCTATCTCGTCAGAAGTTGGGGTATTTATGCACCTGTGCTCTGTGTGTTTTTCAAGCCTCTGGGGCCAGGAATTGAACCTTAGCTATGTGAGATCCAGCTTCCAATGCACAGCATAAACCACTGTGCTACAAAGCTACACCTATTCTTATCATTATTATCATGTTTTTCTATCATGATTTTTTGCTGTCTCACTACCAATTTTTCTGTAAAAGAGTCTTCTCAGCTTAGAAACTAAAGGCCAAAATTTTACTTTTATTATATTTGCCACAAGTGTTCCAAAAAGGCATGCCATTTTTTATTTTATGATTTTAGCTTCTAAACTTGCATCAGTTTATCTTATGATGAACCAATATCTCCTGTTCACACACAAAAATGAATATCTTAAAAATAAATTTTTATCAGGGGAAATCATTGAAATCTATGATTTTAGATTCCTAAAACTTAAACATTCTTTGAACAGGCTTTGTTTTGTGAAGTCTTACATTGTGAGCAAAGACAGACTTAATGTCATTTTTGAGGAGCTATGTTGATCCAATCAATGTTATTATTGGATTGATGGATTCATGTCTACAAAGAACTTTTACAAGACTAGAGAAATGTATGCAATTATGTGAAAAATGTATATGCAATTATCATACTCGCCTTAAAGAAAGAGTAAATGTCTTAGATATTGTATACCACATATGTACTCATTAGAGATCTTTGTGACAGTGGGCTAAAGGTGAAAGTATGGCATCCTATTTGTTTTTGTACCTCTTTCCCCCTGACAATACCTATTACCTTATAAAAGTGCAATAAATATAAGAATCAAAGGGAAGGTGTCCTGTAGTATTGTTGACAACTTTAGTATTTGTAATAGATTCCCCAGCCTTTCCTTTCTTATCTGGCTTTAAATCTCATCTAAATATGTGGGATCCTCAAAAAAATTCATGGAAAATGCATATTATGATAAAACTGTGCATGGGTTACAAAATTTTTTGGCACCCAAATAAATTTGTACTTTAATTCTATGTTTTCATGAATTTTTTGAAGTTCTCTCAGATGCTTCTTATATTTACATGGAACTGAAGTTTTCACTTCTATAATTGATTGCTAAATTTTATGGTCACTGACTTGAGCATTCAGCTAATACACTTTGTAAATAAAATGGCATCATTTTGACAGCAAACAGATATACAGTTAATACAGTATTTCAGGAGATTCTGACGACTATTGGTTAAAAGGCATTAATCAAGTGAGAGCTGTAAAGTTGGTAGGAATTAGACAGAAAGCAGGAATAAAAAGGTTTGAGACTGTCTGTGGCCAGCCTTTTAACCTTTTGAGGAGTCTTAGCATTCCTGTGACTGCGTTTAATGGCTCTTCAGTTTCGTGTGCTTAAGACCCTTTTTATTACAGGTAATTTTCTGCATAAAGCAATCAGCTAGATAAGCTGTATTTCAAAACTTTTAAATGTCTTTCATTACATTATCATCACTGTGGTCGATTCATTTATGAAACACAAAGCACTCCCATTTGGAGAGATTTATTCTCGTATCATTTTCTTCCTGGATTTGCTAGAACCCCGTCATGTTCGTGTTCTGAAGGTTAATGCCCAAAGTCAAGCAGACAGAAGCCAAGTGCTGCAAGGTTTCCAAGATTAGGACTGATTCCCTTCACAGAAATAAATGATTCCTGCCATGTTCAGTGATTTTGTGCAGTGCTCCCCACGGCTGAGTGAGTGCATCAATACTGTAGTCCTTACATGCCGTACATACTGATGACACTCAGTGTTAACTTGATTGACTGAACGGTGCACTGGAGAGGACGCACCTGCGAGAGAAGTGCAGACACATATATTTTTATCCTGGTTTCGAAACATTTATTTTACATTTATTTTACTTGGGAGCCATAGTTTCCAATTCCATGAGCTCTCAAGCCTCACTGCTAAGGTAGAACAAACCGTTAAGTGCCGATTTTTTCTTTTCTTTTCTTTTTTTTGGTCAGAATTATACTGAAAATGGTCTCAGGTTTATCCCCTTATCCAAAGCCTGATTTTATGTATTTGAGGGAAAATGACATGAAGGTGACTATTAAGAATCCAGATAAATTAGGGATTCAGTGGAATCTAAGTTTCTTTAGAGGTTCTGTCTGACAATGGGCAAATGGATCGTTTAATTCAATTATGAGAAATCATTTTGGCTATGTTTTTACATTATATTTTATCATCATTTTTTATAGGCTTTGAGGCAGCAGCAGAAAAGAAGAAATGGAGTCTCAATGATGGTAAACAAGACTGTTCCTCGTGTTGTTTTGACACCATTAAAGGTGTCTGATGAGCAGTCGGATTCGCCTTCAGGTAAAGAGCTGAAAGATTGTATGCCTGGCCAGTTTCTTCCCGGAGGATACTTTCTCACTGAGAGAGATGTCAGGATTTTTTTTTTCTGAAACCGAATAGGATTTCCACTGGAGGTTTGGTTTAAGTTTTTTATACCTTTGACGCTTTCAGGGATTCAGAGACACAGATTATTTTCCAGTTTAGAAAAAAGGCACCAGTGTGCTCATCATCATCACATCACTTCATTTGCTAATGTCAGAAGGTGTAAGAAAATGTGCTGTGATGCTAGGTGGATTTTTGATGTGGCTTTGGCTTTTGTCTGGATGATGAACTTTAATGGTAGACCACACGCTGATGTGTAATGCCATCGAAAACAGTTCTCCCGTGAGTGCGAATTTGTGTTTTCAGTCCTCTGCTGCACAACTAGAAATTCTGTATTCGTTTTTGTGTTCTGACAACATTCTTCTCACCTCAGTGCAGCCCTGACCTTTTCTTCTAATTTACCTTCTGTCACTTTATCAGCAATGTACCATTCGATTTATTATAGATTAATGTTTGCATTTTCGGCTCTGACTTCTGTTCCTACCTATAAATAACATAAAGGTATTTATAAAGGCCTGATCTTTCTCTCTTTTCAAGGTTCCATTCTTCTTTTATCTTTCTATCTCTGTCGTGTATCATCTCTAAGTGGCATAACATTGTTCAAGCTTATTCGTGTATTTTTACAAAAGATCTGATTCTTTCTTTTAAAAGCTATCAGATCAGTGTAGTGTTTTTGACTCCACTATTAGGCCATCTGTTCTTGCTTTTTGTTCTGTTTGATTGATTTATTGGGCTTTTCTCTTTATATCCAGTAGAGGAATCAGATTGTGGCCAAAGGTAGTGTATTAACTCTTAGAAAAGGAGATTTTATCTGTGGTTCTTAAAACAATTTTAGATTTTTCTTTTCAAAGACAGGGAGAGGAAGATAATGACATAATAACTATTTCCTTTTTTAGGATCCGAATCTAAAAATGGTGAAGCAGACAGTTCAGATAAAGAAATGAAACATGGGCAAAAATCTCCCACTGGAAAACAAACAAGTCAGCACTTAAAACGATTAAAAAAGTCTGGTTTAGGTGAGTGTTCAATAGACTGTGACATTTCACATTTTAGAGATTTATGTCTTTTCAAATAAATTGTGTAAAATCCTCTGAACTTCTTTTTAGTGGTTAAACAAGGAAATTGAAAGATCCCTCCATTAATTTAAGCCAGAAAGAATGCTAAATAAGGAAATGTCGTAATTACAATTGAATGGCCTTGTTTATTACTTAATTTGTGAATCATATTATTGAATGAAACAGAGGGTACAGACTGAAAATGGTATATGTATTCAGATAATTATCTGCCCAGTCACAGTTCTATCTAATGTGTCACGTTTTGTACATGCAACTAGATTTCACTTAATTGGACTATATTGTATGGAAATATATATATGGCTTTTATTAAGGGTTTGTTGAACTAGGGAGTACATTCTCCTTGGGGTCTGCTGTAGTCCAAGTGCTCTGTGTTGTTTTTTTTTTTTGGTCTCTGCTGCTTGAAATACTTACTTGTGCCTGTCTGAAAAGTAATGTGAGCTCAGAGAAGTGTGGGTGACATAGTCCATAGGTTTTGCAAGTCAGCACCAAGTTTTTCTTGTAAATACTTCCTTCTGCATGTCTTTTCATCAGAAACCCAAGAGCAGCAATCAGGAAAAAGGGAGTATGAGAATTAAACAATCAAACAAAAACTGTATTCTGGAGCTGAACATTATAATTTTCAATAATACCTGCTTTGTTGAATGACCTGGACTTGATCACTTCTTTTCTCTCTCTGTTATTTCGCCTGTGAATGGTTATAATGCTAGTGACCTGGGTTATTATAATATTTTCATTATATATATATATATATATACACACACACACACACACACACATACATACACACACACACACACACATATGTATAATTGTATTTATTATGAGAGAGATAGAGACAGCACCTCTGACACACCTCTGACATGCCAGGACCCATCCCCAGCCTCAGCCAGCCTGGATCGTGGGTACTTATGTGTCTGATATACTTGGGGGGGGGTTTCCAGACTTGAACCTGCAACCTTCCTATGTGGGTCTGCCTCGAAGATATTTGTACTGCACCATTTGTAGCCTATGATATTTTTGCATGTTTTTGATAAAAATTGCAAATGTATTTCATTGAACTTACTACTAGTTCTGCCATTTACTTTCTTGACAACTCAGGATAGTTATTTGCAAAGCTTTTCTGCTTGTAATATTCAAGCAAATTTTAACCTATTTATATATGTTTAGTACAGTTTTATCAAAGGCCTACTATGTACCAGGCATTTTACTAATTCTTAGGAATATACTTTCAATGAAAAGCCGTAAGTAGGATTGATGTAGATAGATAAGAGACCTTTGGGAAAGCAAAATTTACTTTTTATTCCAATTCTTTACATATACCATAATTACCAATTTTATGTTATGTTCCAGGCTAAATAATTTTATTTTTTTTCTTTGTCTAGCCCAAAATGCATCTATGCATAGTAGTGTATAACCACACTTACATACACACTGACATATTTTTTCTAGTCCTCTGTGTGTTGTTAAGTAGTTTAATAAAAGTAGCTTCTGAAATAGAAAACTACAGTGGGCGCATGATATGTAAAGAATGTACTAAAAAAAAATCTAAAATTATACCACATTACCGTACACTAAATGATTTACAGGTCAGTGACCTTTAGTTAAAAACAGTCTGGTACCAGCCTCAGTAAAGTAAATGCCATATGAATGTAAGAAAATTCAAGATGCAAGAGCCTGTCCATTTATTTACTTAGTTAACTTCAGGACTGGAAATCAACAAGACTGAGTAGTGTGTTATCAGGATCCTTTAAGGGGCTTAGGTCTTCAGTTGGATCATCTGCATTCTAATTGTTACCTCAAAGTCCATACCCAAACAGGGAATCAGAATTGAGAGTCAACTGAAAGATATAAATGCTGATATATCCAAGTGTGCTCTTTGGAAATTCTGTATGCCAATAAACATATGGCACCTTAAAAGTTATGTGGTCAGAGTACTTAGGCTGACTTATTAGCTAATTATAAATGTAATAAAGAAGGGCCAACAGGTGGTATAGTGGTTAAGATGCTAGACTCCCATGTGGCTGACCATGGTTTGAGTCCCAGACTGGCAGCTTGAAACTGATACCAGGTACATGTGTGTGTGCTGAAAATCCCAAGAGGAGAATGGAGGAGAAGGAATTGTGGTATGCAATCCCCAATGGGGGTGGTCTCTCTCTCTCTCTGCCTCTCTGTGTTGTGTGTGTTTCTCCTGTGAGCGCTTGCTTATGCCCTATAACAAAAATCTCTCTTAAAAAATAATATAATAAAGAGGCCACTATGGTCTTTGTAATGTGTTGTGTTTTAGACTACAAAGTAGTAGAAACAGCGAAGCTACTTTAATGGAGGAAAGAAGTGTATCACGTTTACTGTCCTTTTTTAATGAAATGGTCTAAGTATTTTGACATGTTATCAAATTTGATTATTGAATTGTGTATAGCAGAATGATTTTCAACTTATAGCTAAAGAAACTGAGGCCCAGAAGAGTTAAGGAGGAGATTATCCTTAAATGACACAGCTAAGATACGAGCCAGAGCATATCTAACTCCAGAGATTAAACCATTCATCTTGGATAAAATCTGAATGTCAAAACATCTAGCCTGTATTTTAGACTTGTAGTACTATTTAGGAGCACAGCACAATCTGACATGCTGAGTATAACATAGTTGTTAAAGTACAGGTACATTAGTTACATGTGGATGAAAGCTAGCAACTCTTAGAGATTCTGATCAACCCTGTATCAAAAACTAAAGGTGGAAAATGATGAGATTTTAAATAAATCAGTTAAGAGCTGTACCCTTAACCACTTAACAGTGTTTAAGTCCCGTGCATGACCAACTGCAGTTTTAGTCCTGTGCCCAGAAGTTTGAAAAACATTTTGGGTGTGTGTTCATTATGTGGCCAAAATCCTGATGGATGGGCAAATAAAGAAAAAAATAGATTGTGACATAACTGTGCCCCATCGGTGGGTGTATACTGTTTCTCTCTGTGTCTGTGGTGAATGCACATGTCTTCTTGCAATAACTTTTACAATTGGGAAAAAAATAGTCAATTAAAGTAAAAATCTTTCAGAAACAAACTGTAGTTGATTTGTCCACAAGAACTGCAGCTGACTGACTAACTTAGCAAGCAGCTGAATGTATTGGCTTATTTTGTGCAAATAAAGTCAATAGTTCTTTTCTTTTCTTTTCTTTTCTTTTCTTTTCTTTTCTTTTCTTTTCTTTTCTTTTCTTTTCTTTTCTTTTCTTTTCTTTTCTTTTCTTTTCTTTTCTTTTCTTTTCTTTTCTTTTCTTTTCTTTTCTTTTCTTTTCTTTCTTTCTTTCTTTCTTCTTCTTTTTTTTTTTTTTATACCATAGGCGCACTCCCAGAGAAACAGAGACAGGGGAAGATAAATTTCCCTCCTTGGGGAGATAGCCATGATGCATTCCCTTCTCCATTCTCCTCTTGATATTTTCAACACTTTTACATACACACCCACTGTGACTTTCAAACTGCCAAGTCTGGGACTTGAACCATGGTCGGCCATGTGGGAGTCCAGTCCTTTACCATCATGCCAACTGCTGGTCCCAGTCAATAGTACTTTTTAAGTTTCCAAAATGTGCCCATCAATTTAATAAGACATGAAAAAACTTGAAAATGAAAGACTTTAATGTTACTAGCTCTAGACAATAACCCACATCTCTCTTGGGTGAAGAAGTTTTTGGTGTACTATGAGAATCAAGATGATATTTAGTAATCTGTGAGGTGCACTTATGTAAGTCTATTCTGTCTGTGCTTATGTTGTTAGCTCTTGAGAATGACGACCTTCCTGTTTATTTTTGTAGTCCTTTCTGAACTCATTATATCCCTCCAGTTGAATAGATGCTGAATAAGTTTTGGATGAATAAATGGTCATAATTAATAGAAAGGAAAATAAGTTTATCTTCTTGAAAGTTGGTGAATCTTACAGGTTTCAGCATGATAGTGAAATTACTATGAGATAAGGACCTCCATACATGTGTTTTTAACCATCTTGACCTTCTCCAGATAGGGGTAGCTGTATATAAGTCATACCCTTTCAAAACCATTCTTAATTAAAATATGCAATAATTCTGTTCTAATTTAAATGGATAATTCTGCCACAAAATCTGGTACAAATTGGACTTCAGAGTGTAAGTCTACATTTTCATTTTCATTGTGAGGTTTTTCTAGTAGTGAAAAACAGACAGACAATAAAACAATTTCTAATTACCCCTTTAGTGTTTCATTTTAATCTTTGACAATTACTTAATTTGTCAAGTTGCTTGATATTCATCCTCTTCCAGGTATAACTTTCACTTGGGTCTTGGAATGTAATGAGTGTCACCCAACACCCAGTGGATTCCAGTGTGTTTCCCTGAGAATTCTGCGGTAGAGGATACCCATGGTCCTCTGCAGATCCTCTGCATATGGCCCAGTATCACTGGAGAGAGTTAGGAGTACACAGTAAGAATAAATAAATAAATACATAAATAAGTGAGCTGGGGAAGCAGGTGGCATGGAGGTTAAGGCTGCTGGATCCCGTATAGCCTACCATGCAGTTCAAGTCCTAGACCCAGCAGCTTGAAAATCATGCATGGCGTGTGTGCATGCATGTCGAAAATACAAAGAGGAAAAGGGATTACAGTGTGGCCGTCTACCCTGCAAAGGGAGGATTTCTCACTTTCCCTCTGTCTTTCTGTCTATCTGTCTCTGGTGAGTGCACACATCCTATAGCAAACTTAAAAAAAAAAATGCTTCAGTATTTCTCAATAATTTTTGTTTTAATGGAAATCTTGAAGTTCTTATGAGAAATATATCACTCAGCACAGTATACCTCTGCTGTCGATGTAAGTGTTTTGTTTTGTTAGTTTGCCCTTGGCGAGGGTTATATATAAAAGAGTATAATAATATTTTTCTGAGTAACATTCTGATGGAATAGATTAGGTAACATGGAATGAAAGAGT